TCCCGAAGGAGTACGGCCACTAGCGTGGGTCCGGTCTTAGCGAGCCACGGGGAACGCGTTAACCGTCGCCGGGGTGATAACACGATACTGCTCAAGGTCGCAACGCTTTATTGTCTTTGGCAACACCAAACGCAGTACAACCCGTTGCAAAGGCGCGGGGGGAAAGCAAATGGGCTTATCCACGCCTCTGGCGTGAAAGTATTACACAGGGTGCCACTAGTACGTCTCCGTGGTAAAGATGATTCACGGAAACACCGGGACCAAGGCCCGGTTGCTCGAGCGAAGGCAAAGGCGCTCGCGCCGGCATCGGAGGGAGACGGGTCGCGCATTTGTAATACGCAGTAGGCTCAACGCGTGGCAACCGCAGCGGCGCGCAATTGGTCACACTCTCGCAGGGACGCCGCCGCGACGTGCGCCTAGCAACGGCCGCCGCACCTCATGACGAAATACTCTTGTTTTCGGAGTGCGCCGTGAAGGAATTCCTAATGGCCGTTCCTTTTAGTACAAGATGAGAAGAAGAGGCTTGCGCTGTTTTGTTCAATGCACTCGCGCCCCACGGAATTTTTGTCTCCGCCTGTGCACCGTGGACTGCTCTCGCGTTGACTGAGGAAGAGGCGGTTGGCGTGGCGTTGGACTACTTTGTGGTCTAGTGTGTATTTTTCGTGCGTGTGAATTTTTTGTAGCGTTAGCTACACTGGCCTCGCTGAGCCAGTTTCGCGTGGCACTGGTCTGCACATGCGCAATGATACTCCGCCGCTGCCGGCCCGCGCGGCTCGCCGCCGGTGTGTGCGCAATTCGATGCGCTGCGCAGACGATCAGTGGTGTCACGCATCGGATCCGGCACCTCCCTCGCACTCGGCCACGGCTGCGCGCGACTCACCGCCGCCGGTGTGCGCTTTCCAGAGGAGTGCCGTCATAGCCTTGGTAGACATATGGAACGCCGACGCGCGCGCCTTCCCTGTGCAGTCGCCATCTGACACTGCGCTGGAGCCGCCTGATAGCGCCTATGACTGGCGTTGGCCACTGTGGAATAGCCATGGAGAAGGACAGTGCAAATGCTGCTCAACGGTGCAGTAGAGCGGAGAAGCTTAACTAATCGGATCCCGCAGTAGTTGCCTGGCAAAATAGATATACATGTGCCACAAAATACATATACAGTGTGGGTGTCATTGGAACAGCTCTAAGCATGATATCAAGAAAGATAAGAATAATCAGCTGAACCTTTGCTAACGCTACGTATATCCTGGCATAGCTGAGCTAAGCCACTGCCATTTTTTAATTGCGTGAACATTTGAGTTGACGCCTGCGCTTTTTGCGCCCTTAGCCCATCAGGAAGAAGTGACCTGCCGTGTTGTCATACTGTGCGATTTTTCGTTTTTTACAGTGAACACGTTTGGCTTTTAAGTATACCTGTTGCCGCCAGTGTCCTGAGCCCTCGCCTTGTCGCTAGACGCGATGGCCTTTGTGTTAAACTGCTCGCCTCCCCCCCCCTCTTTTTTTTAATTTAGCGGCGTGGAAATGCTTTTGTGACCACGCGTTCCAAGACGGAATCGCCGTGATCGCAGTGTGTTGTACGGCTACGGTCAGTGAAAGCAGCGCATGTGAGACATCGGCGCACAGCGCGATAGAGTGCGTCAAAGACAATGAGAGCTCATTGCCTGACGTCGACGTGCTTCGAGAAAACATCACCGATGAACGTCACACCTGCAGCTGGGTAGAAGACTACGGCTTGAAGACGAATACGTCATGGGTTGTAGACTTCGTCAAGCCAACAGCAAAGTGTGAAAGGTAACGCAAATATGATGTTATAACTTCAAAATAACTTACAACGTCGTCTCTGGTGATTAACTTCATGTTTTGGGGATAATGTCTAATGATGCGCCGTCTGAATGGTTGCAAACAACGTGCAGATGATCGGTACGAGAGGGCTAGACTCCGCTCATTCAGTGACATATCTCAATTATATAGAAATAACGAAACGTGTATTCCCACCTCCTAGCCGCAAAGTGGATTCCCTTCAGGTGATTCACCGGAGATGCCTTCAAACCAAAACTTAATGCGCTTACAAGTGTCCTTGCATAGGGGGACAGAATAGAATGCATTCTTCTTTTTCTCAGAAACACTACAAAAAAGAACGAAAACTCAAACAAACGTGGTACAACATGGCCGTGTTTTCGCAATTACATCCCCGAGGCAAAACGTATCTTCTATAATAATAGAGGAGCCACAAGAAAGAATATACCCTCGGACTGTGAAATTGTTGAGAAATAGTTATACAACCCCCCCCCCATCCCCAAGATGAACTACAGGCACAGTAGAAACTGCAGCGACTAGCATAGATCCCCAATACCATTTTTTAACATTGTGCCGATTCTAGGAAGCATTTGTAATAGTGTCTCTCGACTCCCCCCGGTTTGGCTAATGCAAAAGCAATTCATTAGCAAAATATTTTGTAAAATTGTCTCACTCACCAATTACTGTGCCAGAAAACTAATTGATTAAATCCCCTTTTCTTGCAATTGTAAGAGCATCAAATGTTTACCATAAAGTTCCAGCTTGCACAAGTAAGAGCTGATGGTCACAATAAATTAATATGCTTTACAACTGTGATCTCTTGTTCAAATTTCAAGTGTTGTGGCAAGCCTCTAAGATGTGTCCACGATAGCTAGTAGCTTTGCAGCAGGATTGGCATTTTCCGTGATTTATTTATCCTAATGATGACATTGCAGTCACTGAACAAGTGTAAATGAAAACACACGAGAGACACCCTGAGGTCTGTAAGAGCCCCTTGATTACTACTAGGAACCTGTACTAGTCTCGAAACATCTCTCATTTGTTTTCGCCTAAACTTGTTGAGTGACTGGAACTTTATTATCATGTTTCCTCACCACCTGAACTGTCATCAAAATCTAACCTACAAGCTGAAAATGTCTGAAATGTGCGTCGGTCATGCATAAAGTGAATGAAATTAGTGCGTTTTTGGCAGGTTTGTTGAGTTATTCCTTTCATATGCCACCCGTGAAAAACTGGCTGTAAATGCCTCAAATTGTCACAACATAATTTCAAGGCTTTGTATATTCTATTGCAACAACAATAATTTTATAATAGATTTATTTAGGCATTTCATAGCAGTTAACTTAAATTGATCTTTAATGAAACATCTACTTATTCTAAACACATTCATATTTGATTCTTGCATATATGGAATGAAATCTCAGACTAGAAATATACTGGACATTGGTTTCTGATTTAGTGATATTGAGAGAAGGAAAAAGATATTTAGAAGTGGCTCCAGCGAAGCGCCGCATTGAACGAATCGTCAACTATGGTAGTGCTTCCGCAAAAGTGATAATATGCAATAGTAGGGTGAAAACTGAAGTTAAATACAAGTTTATTAGGGAGGAGGTTGATTATTTCATCTAAACCTCATTGTATCTTGCACTTTTATAGCCCCCAGTTAACACAACTAGCAGAAACAAGTGATGTACACAATTGTAAACAAAGCGTCTAAAAGGGTTAAACACATTGCAAGGAGATTTGTGCAGGTACCTAGTAAGCGTTCAAGTAACTGGTGTATTCTTCCTTTGATCAAATGGCATTTTCAGGCAAAACAGACCCCTTTTGTTGCTGCTAATGTCACTGAAATTCTAAATTCATAGTGTTTTGCAGGATGGTGTTCCACAAGGTATGGCGCTGCAAAGAAGCAAAGCGTGAAAAGTCATCTGGTGAGGCTGCAGCTCACTGCCCAGCAAAGATTGACCTAAAAATCAAGAAGGTCAACAGAAATACAAAGCGTAATGATGCCTTCCTACGTGGAGAAAAGCCCCTGTCAGCTGTGATAAAGCTCTTTCATCACAAAAACCACAGCAACAGCACTGTAGCAGCACATGCCCTTTCTCGTCTTACTCCAACGATGCAGACCAGAGAGACCTTTTTGGCATATTTTGACAACGACATATTACCAGCTGAAGCCATCAGGCTTCACGAGAGCAAACTGTTTGTGCAAGAAGATGGGTATGCCCTTGTCGACAACTCTGCAGTGAACCCATTGCCTCCTGCCATATACTACTGGCACAGGCTTTGGAGAGAAAACTTTGGAAAGGATGTAGACCCCCTCTCAAAGATAGCCGAGAAGATGCCACTCTATGCTAAACATGGTGAGTTGACTATTACAGCACTGCACTTGCCCCATAGGTTCCATACCAACGTTAATAAATATATTTCAGTTTAGAAACTTGCCGCCGCGGCCATTGAACGCAGCTGGCCCGCTGCGGTTCCTGACACCGCGGCGCTGCAGTCGAGAATTGCGCTATTGTTGCGAGCGTCGTCTGCTAGCTCCAACGTTGCGCTTGCGCAGCGGGCTTAGCAAGCCGTCTGATTTAATTACGCCCGTTGCAGCTTTCAAATCTTAAGCGCTCCACTCTGGTGTGTGATGTTCTTAATGCGTGTCGCAACGCACCGCTGTATTATTTTCTACGCATTCAGAACATTAGAGGCCACAAGCTTATGCTTTAACTGCGCCCTTCATACCCGGCCCTCGTTTGGGTTGACTGAAAGCGTGCGCGTGCCCTTGATAGGAAGGGAAATGTTTTCGTTGCCAATCAGATGTCCTACTCCGAATCAATTCGTGTTTTGTTTGATTGGAAGGTTTAACGCGCCAACGCAACGCCGGCGTTTCGACGCGCCGTAGTGGAGGGCGCCGGATTAATTTTGACCACCTGGGGATCTTTAACGTGTGCCGATATCCTGCACACACGGGCGTTTTTGCTTTTCACCTCCATCAGAAAAGCGGCCGGGAATCGAACCCGCGTCCACGTGCTCAGCAGCGCAACGCCTAGCCACTGCGGCGGCATTCGTGTTTCCTCGTCCTCACTAGTATTTTCATGCTTTGCATATATTTCTCGCTGGTATTTTTACTGCCAGTTTCCCACATTAGACAAAAGTATCACGCATGCATGCAACTAAGGTAAAAAACACGAGACAATCAAGTGATAAAATTCAAAATGCAATCTTCTTTATTTACACACTTCAGGAAACAACTGTGCAATTTCAAACAACTTTTGCCTTCTTTCTCTCTCTTTGTGCTTTGACTGCGGAGTCGTTCTCTTGGCACTTTTTGCGAGCAAAGAAATGCATTCGAGTAACTAAATAAAAATGGATCACTTTACCAGTGAATTCGCTGCAGTGTTGTGAACAGCCAACTGTGTTGGTGCCATTTTCAATAAGGCTATCAAGAACCCTCCAAAAAAGATCACCAAATGTAGCTTGTTCACTTGCTTGACTCACTGTTTTCTCAATGGTACTTATGCATGCAAATAATTTTCTGGATGGGTATACAAGGCAACCAGAAACGTGAGCACGTTCAATGATTAGCAGTGCTTCTGCAGGAAGGGCATCCTGGGAACCAACGAGATCTTTCTTGCAATCAGCACAATCTGCAGCTCTGTTAACTTTAAATGTGACATAGCCAGCTAAATAATACTGTGCAGTCTCTTCTGGCGACAACACATTGTACGTGTGATCATCGGGGAGGTTGCACAAGTCATTGAATGGTATGCATTTCAGTCGCTTCCACACCTCTTCCTTTACTGCGTTTTTTTTTCTGAAGTGCCTCACGGCGCTTTTCACCAAGGCTGTCGAATGCACTAAGCAAAACTTGGTCATTGCCTCCCTCACAGTTTCCTTTCACTGCCAATTTAACTGGAGTGTAAAGCGAAAGTAGGCGAAATAACTGACCGAAGTTTGTTACGGTAGGATGATCTTTGTCTCCCCCAAATGATCTGACAAGTCCAAAGAACCTCTGCAAAAAAATCGTGTTAATAGTGCCCCGTATCAATATACAAAAGCTATATTACCTCATGGGGATCTTGACTCAATCTTGCTGTAAGCACGTAACTGACACCCCGGCTGTGTAGGAACTCAATTAAAGAGAGCACTGACATGAGGGTGACACGAAAAGATTCCATTGTCTAGGTGGATGCAAACTGCTTCAAATTTAGGATTGATTCTGTGTCATTCATCATTTTTGAAAAGTCTTCAAGGACCTGCAAGCATATGAAAATTGCAAAGCAGTTCATGAGAACATTGGTCCCAGTGCACTTCAAAAGCATAAAAAGAAAAATTAGAAGCAACACTGTTGTGGCAATATAGCTTCAGTGCTGATTTGAAAAGTAGCAAGTGCAGAGATCCAGATAGCTTACCTTAATCTTGGGAGAGCCTCGTCTGTTTCCAGCTGCTGGGACCTTGGCATTGAGGATGTCGAAAACATCATTCAGAAGTTTCGTAAATGCTTCAGTTCCGGCACTGTCACTGAAGCCTGGAACTTTCAGCTGCCTGTACACCTTCAAGTCAAAAGCAACACTTCGGCTGAAAAGCTGTGAAGGAAGGAAACAACCATAATGTGCAAATGACGCACTCAACAGAAACTTACTTAACAAGAAATGGGACCTTGTATGCGGGACAGATAGAAAATTTTATTAAAGTACCGTACCTGAGTGGCTAAACGGACATTCATTTTCTGGAGTGCCTGGGGTTTAACGTGGTACTCGGTGAGTTTGGAACAACTCGAATGTTCGCTTTCTTTTCAGCCTCATACAGCCGCACGTAATGCTCATAGCTTACTTGGTTGTTTGCTATCTGAAATAAATTCAAGGGAGGCAACTTAGAAAACAGAGTACGGCAGCACAGTGTATCGTTGAGAAAGATAGTGTTGAGATTTTTTTATCCTAGCTCATCTGGGCATACTTGTGCTTCATCAGGTGATTTCTAATGCACTTTATTATGTGGGGAACATCACAAATGAAGTGCAGGGATACATCTGGAAGACAAGGATGTTCAATCTTGCACTTAGGGTCTTCAGGCTTGCCGTTGACACCCAGGTGTGTCCACATGAATTTGTTGCTCCCGGCACCATCACTGATGACTGCCATCACTTTGCACCATACTGATGGAGCTGCAAAACTGTACTTATTACAATCTTAGCTAAAATCCAGCCAGGTGCCGCTCCTTTAGTTGCATATGCTGCAACTGGTTGAATCCATGGTTCGAACATTGGGTTAAACATCACAACCAAAGCGTGATCTGCCAGCTCATCTGAGTTTGTGCTGGATACGTCCCCATATTGACAAAACCATCAAAGCTGTAAGATATTCTGTTAAACTCTGTGGTCTCTCTCAGTTTAATCTCATCGATGATGATTAAGCCATATGTATGGTCCTCTGGCTTTCCATTCATATGAAGCTTGATGGACTCCAAGGCAAATTTATTCATGCCATATTCGCATGGCAGACCCCTGAGCAACTGTGTCAGGCGATTAATGCTAAGAAGGGGAAGAACCTTCATATCAGAGAGCGCCCTGTAGCACTCGGGGCTCCTTAGTATCAGCAGCAAGCACACAATGAGCCACTCTGTCGTGTACCTGTGGCCACGTGGCGACTTAGCTGCTTGCTGCATTATGCCAGCACGTAGGGCCATTTTCTGAGGCTCAGGCAAGTCTTTCACAATGTCATCAACAGTATCTACAAAAGCATTCTTCAGCGTAATGCTCAGTCTTTGGACTTCAGCCTTTTTGCGCTCTCTGGCAGCAGTAGCACGTATGAGACGCTTTCTGAGTATGCTGGCTGCAACAGCCACCTTTTTCCTCGGCTGCTTTGACAGAGCCTTTTTCTTCACTATTTTTCCCACGCCAACACACATGGCACACATTCATTTGTCAGCATTTGTCAAAACTGTACAGTTTTTGTGGTCCACAGCTTCACTTCCTTCTGCAGATTTTCCGGAACCGCTGACCTCACTGCGGGTGCACCCAAGGCAGAATTTCATACTGTGCACAATTTGCACTATCTCTTCAATTGTCTTTCTGGGAGCGTACCCGCACGTCAACAAGAGACTCTTGCAGCAGTTTTCCGTTCGCTTAAATAACGTACGTAAGATCTTCTCGTATCACAATGCTCTTCATGATAGAGAAAACGCCTGCGCTCATCCCTGTCTCGTAAAAAACTGCTTGCCGGCTGTTTTCTGGCTGATCTTGCACAATTGACAACTGCCGCTTCCGAGGTAGCCGCAGTGAGGCCCTGTTCTCGATAATGTACGCGAGATCAGTGCTCTCGCAATCACTCGGAAGCTCATTTGGCTCTTCGGGAGGTGGGTGGCAAGACACAGTCTCTGCACGCCGACAAGCACTTGCTCTCTTTTTCGGTGACCGCCGCCTCTTCTGTGCAGAAGACAGATAGCTGGGTAAGTTCGGGAATTGCGTCGGAACGACACCACTTTTCAGAGCCCATGCACCCCGCTTAACCTCCACCACTTCGCCATTGATGATATGCTTATATGTTTTCGTGATTTCTGCCGGCTAAAAGTGAACGTCGCACACCTTGCATGTTTTGCTGAGCAACTTATCAGCGCGGGGAATAGCCCCTCGCCACCTGTCAAGAAGCTGGGGGTCCGACGGTGGGGCAAAAAAGTGCCGCTTGTCGGGGTTACTCCTATATCCGCTTGTGCAGCCAGGCACAAAACACGTCGGCATGTTGGCTGAATGTTATGGCATTTCACATGTGAAGCCTGGGACACGGCGAGGAATCGGACAGCCCTTCCTGGGGGAGAGCGGCTGGCCTTGAACGCCGGCGACTTTGTTGACTGTTCGTAACAGCGAGCAAATTTATCATTGGCAGTCGCTCACTCACAGTACAAACACAGTTCACAACCTCAAAACGAGAAGAAAACAACGAGCAAATCTATCGGCAGTCACTCACTAACAGCACATACACAGTTCACAACCTCAAAACGAGAAGAAAACAACGAGCAAATCTATCGGCAGTCACTCACTAACAGCACATACACAGTTCGCAACCACAAAACGAGAAGAAAACAACGAGCAACCCCACAGCACGACCCAGGAAACCATGGCCACTGCACACCGAAACGCTCGCCTGCACCGGCCGGCCGTCGGCAACCGCGCAAAAGTCGACCGCAGCGCCCTCACACCCCCTAAGAGTAAGACGCACCCGGCTTCGGCGGCGGCAGTTTTGAAACTGAAGTATATATCTATAACGTTGTTCCATACTTGCTGCAGCTGTCTAGTGGTTATGGTGCTTGACTGCCAACCCCAAAGGTCGCAGAATTGAATCCTGGCTGGCGCGTTGCATTTCAATGAAGCCAAGATGCTAGAGACCTGTCTGCTTAGATTTAGGTGTGCACTTAAGAACGCCAGGTGAGCGAAATTACGGTTGTCTCCATATATAGTGTCATGATCATATCATGGTTTCAAAACACAAAGCATTATAATTATATTATTTATTATATATATTATTATTATTATTATTATTAGTTATTATTATTATATTATTATTGAAACGGGGTTAATTGGCACAAGTAGCACTTGCCACAGTATGTCTATTGATGCGGAAAGCAGGCGGCAGCAACGGACTCGGGAATCACAGCAATCGGGGCAAACGCTCGCGCTTGGCTCCTCTTGCTAAAGGCGTGACCCACTGCGGCACATATTCTTCTTCCTCTCTACAACACCCCGGCGACGAAGACGAGCCATCCTGGCAAGTCAAGGTGACGAGATTAGGAGTGGGTCGTGATATGGCTTGAGACGACTCACGTGGACAGTCTCACGACCAAGGCATCGCCTGTCTGTAGATAGCGTGATCGGCTCGATCACGTATGACAAAAAATCACATCCTAGTATCACGTCGTGGGCACAAGTGGTCAACATGAGAAACTCGATGTGGTACAGGACGTCCTGAATGATTACTCTCACTGTACATGCTCTGACTGGTCGAATAGGTTGCGTGCTCGCGGTATTCAGCAATACGTCGGAAGGTGGCGTCGTTACTTTTCGTATCGAACGGCAGAGTTGTTGACTCATCACAGATACGGCGGCACCCGTGTCAACAAGCGCAAGAGTTCGTAGACCTTCAACAAACAGTTCCAGAACGTTTGTGGGGGACGGGCGAGGACTTCTACAATGCGACGATTTCGCAGCTCGTGCCTCCGGAGCTGCGGCAGTCAGTTTTCCGTCTCTGCGGGGTTCGGTCGGCGACGCAGCGGGGACGGAGAACGGTAGCGGCGTGGTGAGGATGAGCGACGGGGACAGAATGGTCGGTAGTCGGCAGCAGGGTGGTGGTCTATTTCGGATGGGGACGGGTCGTCTTGCACTGATTGTCGGTCGTATTGACCGGGCATTTCTCGTTGCGCGTTGTACGGGGCCGGGAAAGAGTCGTCAGAGTACCTCGGAGCTGCAGCCGGGCCCGTTGCGAAGCGCCGGCGACAGAAGCGCGCCACGTGACCTGGATATTCGCATGCATAACAGATTGGACGATTGTCAACTGTGCGCCAAGGGTTTCCGTGATAGCGCTGTTGTGTTGCTGGAACTGGCGTCGTTGGTACTCGTAGAGGCTGGGGAGTTGGCCGAAGTGGAGGCCGTGGTGGAGTAGCAGCAACAGCAGCGTAAGTCAATGGCGCGGTGACAGGTGTTGTCTGAGAGACGGGCGGCAGTGCCTCAGAGACCTCCGCCTGTATTACCTGTCTGATGGCGGGCGCGAGACGCTCAGAAGAAGGTTCCGTTGCCGGTTGATACGACAGACACGAAAGTTGTCGGGCCACCTCCTCGCGCACATATCGTTTGATTTCCGACATGATTGTGTTGTTGTCCCCACCTAGGGTCAGAGTTTCGTCGGTAGTCGCTGGCCGCCGTGTCATGACCCGTTGCTTGCGCAATTCCTCGAAGCTCTGGCAAAGAGTGGCGAGTTCAGACACAGTACGGGGGCCCTTGGCCAGTCAGCATATGTAAGGCGTCGTCGTCTATCCTCGTTGAAGATGTGTTTGATCTTGTCTGCCTCGATCAATGAAGGGTCAAGGCGCTTGCACATAGTCGAAGCACATCCTCGATGTAGCTTGTGAAGCCTTCCCCCTGAAGCTGTGCTCGTCCCCGTAGGCG